TATGGGAAAATTTGATTCAGTTCACGACCAATTCGGTTCGCGACCAGAGTCGTGGAACGAATTAAGTTCGTGAACCGAGGTACCACTGTATATGTTTGTATTTAAAAACCAACTCTTCTCTCAGAGATCTCTCAGAGATGTATAGAAGTGAAGTGAAGAGGTAACCTAGATGCACTGAAATGGGGAGAAGTACAACCAATGATGGCAATTATTATGGATAGTGGAGAGTATAAAAAACCAGGGGTAGCAGGGTTCCAATTCTCACCTGGATTTAAAGCTCTCTCACGCTGATCTGGCTCAAAAGGTTGCTGTGAGAATAGCTACACCTTTAAAAGCTGCAGGCTAATCCCTTGGCATCAACTACAAGGATCCTGCAGCAACTACAGTACACAGTGCCTAGCTATTGTGTAATCAACACTGTAATTCAGAAAGAAATAATATTACCTGGCAGATCAATGTCATAGCTATAGCCAAGTTGCTCAGCAGTTATAAACATGTCCTTATTGGTAACAGGAGGGAAGAAGGGCACCATGTTAAACATCTGGTTGTGACCAATGGGTGCCAGCTCCTGGGGCCAGGCACTGTCAGATGGGTTAAACCGTTTCATCCACGCATCAAAAATAGCATCAGTAAAAGAATGAAGGACCTGTAATTCCAATTGACATTGATCTTAAATTCTTCATACGGGCATGCAAATGTAATGAAAGCAAACTACTACCCATAACTATCTTCTGCCTATCCACATTCACCATGTGCCATTGTCTACAGTACTCAAGTGCTACTCTATCCCGAAGAATGAAAGATGACGCATAACAAAAATGGTAGAGTTATTCATTCCTATTCTATGAAAGGTTCAGCTAGCCCATATTCTCTTCTAGGCATCTGCAAACTGGACTGTGCTTCAGGTTCTAAACCTCAAGGGTACTTTATTTATAGCCAGGGGCCACACGTTCCTTTGGGGAAAAACAGAACTACAGACCATAGAAATAAGATTTTCAGTCATTTTTTTCTCTTCTGAGAGAGAGGCACAGGAGGTCCATGAAAGAATCCTTCAATACTAAAATGCATTAAACCCATCAGAGGCTTCACTCATCCATTTCCTTTAGGTTCCTGCTGCAAATTGGTGGGAAATTGGGCTCCTGGTGTTTGGAAGGTCACCACTGAACTTAAGCCTCAGTGTTGGGGATGAGTTCAGGAACAGTCAGAATTGTTCGCCCCCGGCTATAGGCTCTGCTCTAATAGCAATTTTAGTGCAAGCTAACAGACTTCAGGGAACTTTTTCGTGAATTGAAGAAACCTTTGTGTGAGAGACCCATCCGCACATTTTTGACAAATGTAATACTGGATTCTTGGCTCACCAGTCACACAAAGGTCTTTAAAACACAGTCTTCCTATAACATGAATGTAAGCTTCCAGATGTTCTGAATTCAAGAGACAGTCCTAAATGCTTATGAAGAGAGATTACCACAGGACAAATTTCTGAAAGGCTCTCCATTTGAAGTGAATAGTACAGGTTTTCTTCTTCATTATTGTTAAGATTGTTTATTACATCTGGGCTCAGAGAACGCTTTGCTTCAGACATCAAACCACTGTTTCAAACCTACTGTGGAGGAATCTCCCTGTGAACAGTTGGCACTTACTGAAATTTACTAAGAGTGAATGTTCAAGTCCTTCCTATTTTGATTACTGTACTAATGGCTGCAGGGATCAAATTTTAATTTAACCAGCAGAGGGGGCTCACAGAAAATCAGAAGGAGTCTGGTAGCACTTTTTCCAACTAACAAATGTTATTTTAAAAAGTTTAAGTTTTTATGAGCTGCAGCTTCATGCTTTTTAATGAAATGTGTTGGTTGGAAAAGATCCCTTCCGATTTTTTGCCACCACAGACTAACACAGCTCTCCTCCCGCAATGTCTTTAGCCCTCAGAATGCAAAGGACCTTTGAAGTAAATCACACCAGCTTGCCCATACACTATCCTTGCAGAATATGATTTTCTTTCCAGCTGCTTTTAATAATAAGGCATGTAATGTCTTGTCTTCAGAACAGCATAATGAACTTCACATTTTAAAATAATAAAAATTACAATGAACCAGATTTTACTGCCTCTTCATAAGACATTCTGTCTATTGCAAGAAACTGGAATATTCATAATACTAATTATCTATATTCTATCTGGGAGCAGAATTTGGGTACACATTTGGAAATCAGTTGGAAATACCATCCCTTACACAATTCACTCTTGGCTCCTGACCTGTCAAATGTGGGGGGTTAGTGGTTTCCCAAATGTTTGAAACTTTGCTTTCAATCTCTGCCCCTGAACCAAAACCTGTGAGGTACATACACGAGATAAGTGATTAAAAAATATTACTACTGGGTCTTTTTCTTTAACTTTCTTATACCTTCTGTCTGCCATTACAAACTCATTGTAACTAATTTGGGGCAACTGATAACCTGATTTAATTATAAACCATTTCTGGATGCTTCAGGATTCAGCATAGAATAAATTAAATATATTAACTAATAATAATAGCAACAACAGCCACAAGAACAACATGGTGTAGAAAACTGAAAAGTAACTGAATAATTTATTTTATTTTGAGTGGTTTGCAAAAGAAATTAATTGGCTGATTTGCTTCCTATGAAATTTAAATAAAACCCTATACACATATATGGTTCTATTTAAATTAAATTTGCATATGCTAATGCATAATAGCATATGCAAACTTTATTCTGCTCTGTGTCCCTTTGATCTCTGCTCAAAGGAGTACATAGGGTACAGTAAAATAATGTCAAGATAGCGGCTGTTTTTTATTTGTGTTCCGTCTGCGACACTCATTTTAAAAAGTCTGAAAGTCTATTACACTGTTGCGGCTGACATCTTAACATTTTTTGACCATACCCTGCAGCTACTCCTGCCTGTGCTATTCCTAGCTAAAAGCATAGCAGTCAACAGGGGTCAGAAACACTAATCAGTAAAGGTATTATTTCCATTTTGTGCATAAATCAGGTGCTGGACCTGTGGGAAAAAGTTCGTATAGAGACATATTTAATTCTAAAAGTTTATGGAAATCAAAAGCAAAAGGACATACCACAAAAATAGGATCATTTGCTGCAGAATGGGGGAAAGCACCTGTTCCATTCAAAATGGAGTGAGCCAAGTTATGGAGACCTATGACTGGTGGCTCAAAGTTTCCATCTGATTTATCAAAGCCTTCCAATGCATTCCTGTGGCAAAGGCAAGTAAACCAGCGTATTACATCTAGCCACCTCTGCCTGAAGTAAACTGCTATTGCCAAGTAAAACCCCTTTTAAATTCAAAGGACTCACCTGAAACTGAAGCTAGAATTCCAAAAGAAAGGAGGGTTATCAAAGTCCTGAAGAGAGAGACACTTCTGAATGTCCTCCACGGTTGGCAGCTTATCACCAGCTTCGCTAAAAGGGCGCCTCTGCAGAGGCCCCTCATTGCTTCCATTACACAGCGTGACCAGACGATTATAATCATTCAAACTTAAGGTTTAAAATAAGACAGATAGGAAGAGTTAGATCTGATCATCTGACAAATTTTGTTTCCTGACTTATACCATGGAAAAGAATTAAACCTTTAATTAGTTACCTGAATAATTAATAGCACATTGATTTTTTAAAAGTTAACAGAATTTTAATAATCCATACTGTAAGATATTTGGTAATAATCACTCTATATCAGATTTGGCATGTGTTGGATTACAATTACCATCATCCTCAGTAAGCTTAGGTAACAGTTATAGTATGCTGTTGAAGCTGATGAAAGCTGAAGTACAACACAGAGCAAGGTCAGGGTTACAACTAAGCATTGTTTATAGGATAACAACAGCCACCCTAGGTAAAACTAGAAGATATTACTGTACAGAACAGGGTTTCTTTAAGTTTTTGCTCTTAGAGCCCCTTCTCACTTTTAAAAATTATGGAGGACCCCAAAAGAGGTTTTGTTTGTGTGGGCTATATTTATTAATATTTAGTGTATTAAAAAATTAAAACTGATGCTTTTGTAGAATATTTATTGAATCATGTAAAAATAAAAATATTAAACCCATTAGATACTAACATAAATATTTTTCATGAAAACTCCCTATATTTTTTAACAAATAAAAATGAGAAGAGTGACATTGCTTTAAATTTTTGCAAATATCTTCAATATCTGGCAAATAAATTTGATTTTACAGACCCCTAAGAGGGTCTTGGGGGTCCTTGGAGCATACTTTAAGAAACACTGCTATAGAATATCAGTTTCAACAAATGCTGAAGTAAAACAAAATATAATGCTACTTCTTAAAATGGCTATACTGCTGCAGGAAGAAATCAGATTATTGGCATTAACTGAATAGCTACACAAGGTGCTTGGGCCCTAACAATGTTTACTTTAATGCTGTTCACTTTTGGCATCAGTAGCATGGAGGTCCTGAGGAAAAGCAAGCCTCGGGGAATGAATGGCTTCCCCTCCCATAATTTAGTGTAAACATGCCAACTTCAAACCATTATTTCAATCCTGACTTGTTTCTGTAAAGTAGGATAAAGATTAGCCACAATTAAGGATAGGGCATAAGAGCAAACCAGAGATGATTGAAAATGGATGCATCGGTATCTTTGTATTAGAGGAAGAGGGGAGAAGTGGAGAAGACATGGCCGTGGGGTTTATTCACATAACATGGTATAATGCTTTTAAACTTTTGGGAGACTTGTACAACATTTGGAAAATATCTGGCAGGCAGTTCTTTTGCCCATTCACAAAATGGCTGTCATGGGAGACATAACCAGTTATAAAGCATGATGTACTAAAATAATTCCATCCTCCTTCCATCCCACCCCATTCCAGTTCACCTGAGCAGATCAACACCCTGAGCTCCTGCCATGCTTACTTTCTAAGAAACCCCATGAAGCTCATTTGTAGTCCAGAGGCGTCCTTGCAGGTACAGGTGATGTTGTGGCTCAAACATCAAGGAAGTCCCTGGCTGCCTCAGTGGTGGCACCAGCTAAAGTTTAAAGCTGTGCCTGAGCCAAGGATGTGTCAAGTGAGGCTTTTGTTATATAATTGCCTTTTCTCAATCAAAGAATTGGGGTTGTCTCAGATATTGCCTTCTTCAGTTTGTAACCCTCTTATGTTACTTCACCAAGAGTACCATAAGTACCATAAGACTATTTAGTAAATTGAAAATTATCATAGAAATTATTCGGTGTTTAAAAATATTGAGGGTTTTGTAAGAACCATATTTATTTGAATTCAACATCTGTATTGATTAGGCAGTTGAAAGACAGATGATTAACAGCAGTGGCAGGTGGGAAATTAGCATGGGCAGGTTGAACATCTAAAGTGGGTTTCACTGTTCTCAAAATGTTGTTACCTGTTGCAAACTATCTCCCATTCTGAGAATCTTGAATTACGACTTATTAGATTTGGCTCATCTGGCCTTGATGCTCCAAAAAGTTGATCCGTGCACACATCACATTCATTCTTGCCAGTAGCAAAATTCCAGAATGGCAGTGCAAAGGACTCATTGCCAATCAGTCGCTAAAGAATATGGGGGTGGAGAAGAGATGGAGAGAAGATACTAATATAGACCGATATCTTTAGACTGGTTTTTTGCAAGGATATCACTATCACTTTTTACATCACTAATGTATTTCCTTCATATCTTTGCAATGTTTCTTGACTTCATTTGCCAAAATTACATATTTCATTTATAAGCTCCATACCATTTCAATCTCCAACTGATGTATGCCTATTATTTAATGCAAGATTCATGCTATTTTATCCTGACTAGCTACCCAGCAGCCACGGAATAGTTAGCCAGAATAGCAGAAAGTGTTTTAAAAATAAGTTTATTTTCCCCATTTTCTTTTGCTGGTCTGCTCTCATTAATAGACCCCATCATCCAATCAACAACAACAACAAAATAAGCAGTACAGATACATTTCAGAAGGATAGTTTTGCTTGGAGTACTAGTTTTTGAAAGATGACTGTGACAACAAAATTAGATAGATTCTTCTTAGTGCTAATACATGGTTGTTCTTCCACATGTAAGCTATGAGAGGAATTCCAATAGTCTGTCTAGAATACCTGGAGACATTATGCATCCCCTGGGTATTTATCCTGCTGAATTTTTTTTCATAGCACTACACTTCTTTATCGCAAAATAATCAGCATTTAATCTGACATGGAGAAGCGGGGGGAGGGGGGGTTGCCTTTGCGGCCACACTAGGAAGACACCATTAGCTCAAAGCAAGAGGGACATGTACGCAGGACACCTTGAGGGTATTCAGGAAAGGGTCTACAGCTAAACCAGTTCAAACTGCCTTGTCCTTGTAAACTATAAAAACTGAGTTTGTATTTCCGTTGGCGTGGCACACCCTGGCATACCTGCTGCTTATGCTTTTTCTGGGATTCAGGGCTGCAAACCTTACACTGGAATATTGATGAATCAGATATGGACAGCCTCCAGAAGAGATTATAAAAATAGATCTATTTCCCAAACAAGACACACAAAAGCTTTTGTCTAGAGGATGAAAATTACCTTGAAAAAGAGAACATCCCATACTACTTTCTCTGGGCACCTCTTATATCATCAAAATCAGAGCTGAACACATCATAAAGCAGGTTGCTGTGAACATCATAAATCCATGATGTGCTTTTTATATAAGGGTCACTGGAAGGTCATGGAGATGATTTAGGATAAAGGATGGTAAGAGACGGGGCATAAGAATCCCAGCCTTGGGAAAATGTATACATGTTTTTACTAACTTCAGTCTATCTCAAAAATATATGCAGCAAGAATAAGGTTTGAAAGATGGACAATTTATGGCTTGGGAATGTGAGAAGAAGGCAGACTATTTCATATTTTATTGGTTCATGTCTGTCTATCCAAACATGCAGTAAACAAATTAGAAAAGCTATAAAACACACACCTATTTTTAAAAAATAGCTATCTAGAAGGAAAACTTATACCTTTTGGTTTATCTCAGATAGACCTTGTAAATATTCATTCTTATAAGCCTTAGTGTAGAATAATATTAGTGATTTATAATTATGCTGTTTTGTGGTATAATCCATTCTTGTAATCTTTTGATAGTACTATAACTTGCAACAAAGTTGTCTTTTTAGTAAGACATTATTTGCTCTAAATAATGATTTAAATGTAAATTATTGACCATTTAAGATCTCAGGAAATACATACTGTATCCCATGGAAGTTTGACTGAGTCCTTCAAAAGTCCAGATGTGTTCCAAAACTAAATTGATGACTTAACCCAAACAGGATCACGTTAAAGTTATGGGGGGAGGGAGTTTGTTTGTTTTAATACAAAGCAATAACTTACAAGATGCAAGTTATTGATGTAGGTAGGGACTTCACTGACAGCTGAACCTATCACAGCACAACATACATTAAACCACACTCCTCTATAGTAGGCATCCTTTCTATTACCTGTTTTAAAATCAGTATTTTAAGTAGTATATTTACACTTAACTGAAATATATATCTATATCTATATCATCTATATCTATATCTATACATACACATACATACATAGTGTTACATCCCAGTAATGCTATCATGGAGATATATTTTGAAAACTACCAGTCCTTTTCACTAAATAATGCTGTTTGGAATTAAGCAGGCTGTCCTGCCCCTTCCCCAAATTCATCTGCTAAACTCAAGTGTAGTAAAGAACTCCATCTCATCATCAGTATCAATAGAAGTGAATATGTGTAGCTCAGGGTTGAACTGTGGAGTCCTTGGGGCTCTCTGAGCTTGGTTCTTTTCTTGCAAACATTTCATTACCTGGCTAGGTAATTTCATCAGTACATGGGAATGTGGTTGTTCTTTTCTTTTTGAAAAATAGCACAATCCATAACACTGTGCTGCTATGGGTAAACCCTGTGATAGTGATAGACTTGAAAAAAATAGACTGATCTAGCTACTCTTTCCTTGTTCCCATCTTTCCAAAGTTCTTGTTATTTTCAGCACTGCTTAACATTACAACTCTGAAAGGATATCACATGATTAGAGAAGAGATAAAAAATACAGTGGTACCTCGGGTTACGAATGCCTCTGCTTACGAACTTTTCGGGTTGCGACCAACTCTGGCCACAAAAATTTACCTCAGTTTGCGAACTCCGCCTCAGGGTATGAACCAGATCCACGGCCATTTTCCGCCATGCCACATGGTCCGCGGCCATTTTCCACCCGTGCCACGTGGTCCGCAGCCGTTTTTCCGCCCTGCCGCGCAGTCCGCGGCCGTTTTTCCGCTCGTGCCACGTGGTCCGCGGCCATTTTTCCGCCCTGCCGCACGGTCCGCAGCCGTTTTTCCGCCCTTGATGCGTGGTCCGCGGACGCCGGAACAGATTAATGGTAATTACATTGAACCTTATGGGAAAATTTGCTTCGGGTTGTGAACAAATCGGGTTGCAACCAGAGTCACCGAACGGATTAAATTCGTAACCCGAGGTACCACTGTATAAGATTTCTCAAGTGGGGGACACTCACATTATTTCTTGGGAGAAAAACACTTTGGTGAGAGGAGTTGTTAAGAGAAGTGGTAAAACATAAAATTATAGATTGTATAGAAAAACTATATAAGTATATATAGATGGGTGTCTATCCATCTATCTATCTGGATCGTTAGATCCAGCAGGAGAAGCATCCTTCAGGTTCCGTGTGCAAGAGTGGGCCATTTAGCAGGACCCAGGAGGACAGCCTTTTCTACCATGGTGCCCACCCTTTGAAACATTCTCCTGTCCACCCCCAAAATCAGACTTGCCCTGATCCTGCTGGCTTTTTGCAAGGCATTAAAAACTTAGCTGTGCTGTCAACCCTGGGACAAGCCTGTTTTTTGGTTATATTGACTATGAGGTGTTCAATTATTCTCAGCTGCTAGTTTATGCTGTGTTATACTATTTATGTTTTTAATCATTGGTTGTGTTTTTATTCTGTTGTAATTGTTAGCCACCCAGAGTGATGTATATGAGATGGGCATCCATATAAATTTATGGATGGATGGATGGATGGATGGATGGATGGATGGATGGAT